CGGGGAAGGCGCGTCGGAGGACAAATAACCCGCCTGCCGGGCTCCTTCGCTCCCCCGCCCGCTCCGTCTTAAAGGGGAGAGCCGCGATCTTCCGATGCCTTCCGCTCCGTTTGCGAAGCAAAAAAAGAAAAAATGGTAGGGGGCTTGCTGCAGAAGCCGGCCTTCCCCCGCCCCAGACGGGTTCCCTGTTGGATCCCCAGTCCCGAGATGGCAAGGGATGGTGTAGTTTGCAGGCAGGCCACGTTGGAAGAGGCGAGGTCCTCGATGAGGACTGGGACCTTGGCTTTCATTAGGAAAAGGACGCTGCTCGGGGGTGAAAGCCCCCGATTTGCACGGGGGAAAGGGGGATCCCCAAATCTAACCTGCAGCCTTGCTAGCCACCGCACGCCTTTCCCCAACCTTTCACTCCCACCCACCCTCCTAATGCCTGATTTAATTTTAATTTCTGCCTAGTCCAGGGAGTCGATGTCCCGTGGATCTGGACAGCCCCTAAACCACCAGGAAAAGCAGGGGGGACGTGTGATCTTCCAATACGTACGAACGATTTGACTCGGAAGCTGAGCTGCTTCCCCCTCTCCCGTTTTGGGGCTCCGCAAAAAAAGGGGATGCCTCTCCCCACTCGGGATTCTGGTTTCCCCAAACCTCGGCTGACAGTCTTTCTTGCACTCTTCCCCCTTTCTGGATCGCTAACAGCCCCCCAAATCTGAAGCACCTGAAGCCCTTTAAGAAACAGACGAATCCAACTCAAGACATTTAAAAAAAAAACCACAATTTATTTAATGAAAAAAAAAATAGGGAGGAGGTTGAGACACAACAGACCCCAAGAATAAAATGCATAAAATGCCAATCCGGCTCCAAACCAGAAATTCTGAATGTGGATGATGGGGGAATCTGAGGTTTGCATTCCAAACAAAGGAGAACCAGCAGAGTTACCCCCCCCCCAAAAAAAAGTTATATACAAAGCTCATATTTATGTACAGGTAGCTGAAATACAGACCATGTGGGAATTCAGAGAATCCGAATTGACAAAATAAAAGCTCGGAATGTGCAAAATCTACAGAGCGTATACGGAAACACAACGGTCCTCAAACAGAGTCACTGTAACAGTCAAGACGGGAGGTTGGCATGGAAGCGACGGGCACGTATCTGTGGAGGGCTGCCGGGAGCTGCCCGCATCCCAAAACGAGGGTCTTTCTTGGAGTGTTGCCAGGGTGGGCTTTTGGGATGAGAAAGGAGCAAGGCCTGGAGGTCCGACCAGGGCGGCAGACCACTGTTGGGGTTCTCCACCGCCGTTCTCATTTTAAAGCCCTCGGTGCCTTCTCGGGGGACCGCGTTTTGGCTCAGGAGCATCCTGCTTCGGACAAGCCTGTCCCAGGAGTCTCTGATCGGGGTGTTGTTGGTCATCTGAAGCCCTGGAGCATGCAGAGTGTCAAGTCTTGGGGCTTCTCCCTTCCCTGTCTCCAATGCCCTTTAGAACGGGCATTTTGGCAAGGGTGAATTCGCTTTCCAAGCAGTCAGACGGACCAGCCTTCCTCTGGAGCAGCAGGAACATTCAGAATTGTGCTTAATTAAAAGTCCTCTGCTCCAGAGTGAGGGTTTCACTGTCCCTTTCATGGCCCGGGGGCATCTCCCCCTTGAAACAAAAGGTCCCTTTTGGGGGTGGGGGGACAGACAGGCAAACCCTCAACAGGAGGTGCCAAATCATTTTGAGAGAGGGGGAAAAATCAGAGCTAGGGTGATTCCAGACACCGAGGCTTCTCAACCAGGGAAATGAGATCCTCTCTGAGCGGGATGATCCCGTAAGCTTACCATCAAGATCGGAAGGGGATCCTGCTAACGGGACTACAGCAAAGTCTTGTTCCGGTTATTCTTTGTAACTTATGGGCAAAACACCAGCAGCAGCTCCGGGACAAGCTAGAATGTGGCTTTAGGAGGATCAGCTGGAAGAAAAAGACCTCCAAGTCATTTTCCTACTTAGCAGAAATGAAAATGCCCGAGTGGCGTTGGATGGTCAGTCTCCTTATCATCATGTTTTTTCCAACATAGGAACAGCTTGGAAACCAGCACCCCATCTCCGAGTAGGCATCCCCCCCCTTTACACAAAGCTAATCCAAAACTGAATTTTGGGGCCTGCTCATAAACCGTGAACATAAACGTGAGGAACATCTAAAAGATCGATGACAAGCTGCGCGCTCTGCTTTCCGGCAAAGCCAAGGGGTAGGCGTTACAAGCACTGTACGGAGGGTGTGTGTGTGTGTTCTTTTATTGCTGATTACGTTGAGATGAAAAGCAAGACAGGTCTGAGCTTGCCAAAGGAAAAAAAAAAAGAGAGAGCTTCCATTTATTTCTTGGAAATGCAGCTTTCTGATCTCACTTTTTATAGGAGTGTGAAAAGGAAGAGGCTGGAAAGGGGAGAACGAGTCCGCATGAAATTCATGAAGATGTCCCCCTGGATCAGTTCTGACTTACGATGGAGAAGCTTCTCTGCTCTTGAAAACTTTTTTTTTCCCTGGAGCATAGGTGTGGGGCGATCTCTCCTGAGGTGACTATTTGAATGGGTGGGCTGGCATTCATTCAACCCCCTCAGAGCAAGGGTTGTTTTCACCTTTCCAAACCAAGGGCTCTGGAAGAAGACACTCCAGCAGGCGTTGGGACTTGCAGAAGAGCGTGGATACCACCAGGAGTTTCTGCAAATCCTCACTGGGTGGCTGCTCCTTGCCTCTGGAGGAGGCTGGCATCCCACGGCCACCGTACGAACAGCAGTGACCAGCAGACGTCGGTGGAGGTGGCCAACGGTTCCTCAGCACGTCCATGTCCATGCCAGAAGAATGGCTCAGGAGAAGAGGTCTGGGTTGCAGACTCTGCTCTTTGTATTATGGGAGGCAGCTGAGATGGAGGCACCCCTGCCCACAACGGGATGAGCTTCAGGAAACGCCAGATGGTCAAATGGGGAACCATCCTTCTCACCCCACACTCCACGACGACCCCATAAGGGGAAGGGAGGCCTTATCACACCCATCACCTTCCTTGGTTTAAAAAAAAAAAGCGACAAGACTGCGGAGAGAGCCGAAGGTACAGAAGCAAGCCCAGTTGAGTGAGGAAGAGGTGGCGCCGCCTGAAAACGAATGCTCCTTCCGCCACCCCTGCACGTTTGAGTGATGAAGACGGGCACCCCTTGCTAACAGCTGGGGTGGAATCTGGGAGTTGAATTAGCCCCAGGAGCTCTGCTGCGTTGTGCTTTTAGGAAAGCTGGAATGAGAAGAAGAACTTGGAAAGCGGAGCTCCTCTGAGCTCTCTGATGGCTCAGCCAACGCTGGAACAGAGGACCCAAGAAGGTTGTTAAGAAGGCAGATTTCTGCGGACCATGAGTTCACCAACACGTTCTTCAGGAAGACTCAGCAGCACCGGTGTGCCACCCCAGCTCAAGGAAGGAGCGTGGCCCCGCTAGGATGGGAGGCCAAGAGATTTGAAGTGGCAGAAGAGTTTGTCCTCAAGGGGCAGTGCACTCAGCACAGGTGGAGGCGGGGCGCCCACAGCACGATGCAGCAGCACAAGATACGGAAGCGGGCAGCGGGCAGCTCCTCGGCTGGATAGGAAAACCGAGCATCTCTTTTGGACCTCGGGGCCTGGACCCTCCCCCCCAGCAAAGCCCGATCGACACACAGGAACGCAACACGGGTGAAGTGAGCACGGCGCAGCTCTTGGTGGGCAGATGGTTCAGACGGAGGGGGTGCCGTGTCGCAGCAGAGCGAGGAGGGCACGGGAAGGCGTCCTGCCCTCGCCCTCAGGCTGGTTTGGAGCCGAAGAGCCCTACCGGGAAATGCTTCACATGGGTTGGCCACTGGGCGGCCAGTTGGAAAAACTTGATGTCGCTCCATTCCACTCCATCGATGGAAACTAGGAAAAAACAGAGTTCTTGTGAATACTTTAGGCGGCCTTGTCTAAAAGTGCATTTATATTTATTTTTTAGTTACATTTCACGTCTGTCGCCGCCCATCTCACTGGAAGCCACTCTGGGCGATTTACAGGACAAGAATAAATATTGATTACAACACAGTATAACAATATGCCTGCAAATAATAAATATCTTCCAAGATATTGATGGTGAACTAAAAATTATTAGGCTCGGGGAGCATCTTCAAGGCGCCAGCCACCCCCAGGGTTGGCCCCACGCGAGACAGCAGAGCCAGGTCTTTAATCCTTTCTGGAAAGCCGGGAGAGTGGGGGCCCGCCACACCTCTGGGGGGAGAATATTCCAGGGGGCGGGGGCAACGGCAGAGAAGGCTCTCCTCCTGGGCCCTGCCAGTCGACATTCTCTTGCTGACGGGATCCACAGCATGCCCTCTCTGCCTGACCGGGTGGGACGGGTCGATGTGATGGGGGTGAGACGGACCCTCAGGTAACACTGCCCAACAAGCAGGGGCTTTCTAGGAACGTAAGCTTTCTCTGGGGTTTCTTCATGCCAATGGCTAACCTTGGCATGACCTCCACAGCCCAAAGAAACGGCTCTCTCGTTTAACAGCAGCCTCTCCCCTGAGAAGAGGTCTCTGCTGCAACCAGAGGACTCTGTTCACAGCTGAGTTAGTGCCCTCAAGGCTCAAAACTTCTTGCTTCGGACAGGAGCCAGAAAGAGCCGCCATATGTGGAGAGCTGCGATCTTGGTGGTCCTGGGGCCAACCTGTGTTCGGTTCTCACCGTCCAAGCTCTCCCGACAAGTATTTTTGCCTGGCTCTATGACCGACTTTAGGCCTGCAAGGCACACCTTCTTGTAAGAAGGATGAAGCAGCATACATGCCCCGGGAAATAAAACGAAATAAACATTTACAGAGTGCGTCCATCTGAAAGACAGCCGCATTCTTGAACAGCCTTAAAGAAAAGGCACGGCTCATATTGGCCCTTCTTGGTCTGCTGCATCTCCCCTCCGCTTGGAAACCCTTCTCCAGGGGACTATCGGGGGCCTCTCTGAGGTAGGCATTACCTTTCAGCATCGTTTGCTGCTGCTTGGCTGAGCAGATGAGCCGGCTGATCCCGTCAATCATTTGGCTCTTGGAATCGACTTCCCTCTCTTTGGGTTTCTTGCTCAGGAAAATGGTGGGCACTGGAATAAGATGAAGGCCAGTTGGTGTCAGCTTTACCAGGCAGACCAGACAGGAAACACGACCAGCTGAGCGAATTCTACTTTAGGGTAAAGCTGTATTGACAGAATCTTGCAAGTCTGAAAGTGCATTCTCCTGCCGTCTCTTTTATAGCCCGAGAAACTAGAGAAGGTCCCTTCTGAGTTTCTTTCTCCATCCGTTATGCAGCTGAGGGCTAAGCTGTCTCTTATCTGACTGTTTCCTTCACCCCATCTCCCAAGGTCTTTCCCACATGCCATTACATTTAGGGATAACTCAGCACAGCTGGAAAGTGACAGGTTAGATGGCTCTTTGGAGAAAGCTCGCGTGGTTCTAGACCTCATGGGAAGAAGGAGCCCCAGGAAGAAGAATGTGGCTGTTCAGGAGCTGTACCTGGTGACTTCCTGGCCAGATCTCTCCTTCCTGCTTCTCCAAGGCCCCTTCAGAAAGGCAATCCTCTCTGCAACACCACATCAGGGTGATTCCCCCTCCCCAGCTGGAAAGAGCTTCTGCTCCTCACCACCCACCCTTCTTATTCTTCTCCTTGGTGACGACTGTCATGGCCATGGTCCCAGAGGGCTGGGTCTCTCCGCTGTTGGGAAGCCGTGAGACCTGCACCGAGCGGAAGACACTCTTGAGGGTGTTTTTGGAGCTGGTGTCCTTCTTCTCCCCTTCTTTCTTCTTTTCCGTGGGCTGAGCTAGCCAGTAATCCACCTGCAGGCCAATCACATCACCGTAAGGGCTGCTGGGAGACCTGTGATCCAGAGAAAAAAGGAAGGGGGGGGGATGAGCAAATCTGGCACTGCCAGGCACCTACTTACTACAGCAAGCAGACAGGACCTTCTAATGAGCAGAAGAGAAACAGAAGAGGAAGCCATCAAGCCAAGGGTAAAAACTCCAGAACTCAAAGATGGTCAAGTATGGAAGCACTTTATGTCACTTCCTGCCTGAAACAGGAAGCTGCTCACCAAGCAAGTCACTCTAGTAATTTTGGGGGTGGTTTTAATATCCACCGTAGACTACTGGGAATTCTATAGGGCGGTATAGAAATGTTAATTCCTGTTCTGCAGCTCAGGGCCCAATCAAGCTCCTTCAAAAAGACTGGGAGAAGAGGCCATCGCCGCACCCAATCTCCACACTTACCCCACCACAGCCAGTCCGCTGGTCATCGATGGAGAGGATGGGGGAGTGGCAGAGACGTCCTTGGCAAGGCCCGAACTTGAAGGGGGAGAGGTGGAGGGAACCGTGAGGCTGATGATGGGGGAATCGTCTCCCTCACCTGCAAAGGAAGGAAGGGATGACACGTTTATCCCAGGGATATTGGGGAGCATAGCCAACTTCTCTTCCTGACCTTTGGGGAGCATTGCGGTTTGGACCACTTTTAACAGACTCAGTAGCAGGGGGCTTTTTTTCCTCCTTTCGCTAGACTAAAGATGCTCTCCTTTTCTGTTGAAAAACAGGTAGGGTTCCTCTGGGCAACTGTTGGATCACCTCATTGATTTGACTTCTGGGGGACGTTCTTTGGATTCCCACCTTGTTTCACAGATGAGTAACAGACCACAACTCAGGGCATCTTTATGCTCCACAGAGCATAAAATACCATAAAGGTATCTTGTTCCCCTCATTATCAAGGTGGCCCAGCTATTTCCTAGGGAACCACAAAGGTCATTGAAAGAAAATGGGGATGAATGAGGACAACTAATCTTTGGCTCCAAGGGGCAGACAGGCGAAACAAGTCCTACCTGCTGCCGCAGGTGAATCCTCAATGAGGCCCACCTTGACCACCTGGAAGAGGAAGAGAGAAAGCACAGAATGTGAATCATTTCCAAAACAAAACTCGTCAGATCATGAGCCTGCAGGTGAAAATCCAACACTTTGAATCTTTCTAAGGCAGGACACTTATACAAAAAGAAAAAATTACCTACCTATGTAATTTGGATAATTTTTTTCCCCACAAACCAACAGGACTACTGTGGCTTTTTAAGCTAGAGGGAAATCTTCCTGTGCAGTAGTGAAAATACCACGCCCTTTTCTCTACCACTAAACACGGGGCTCTCCATTCTGTATTGACTCACAACCATCTGGAATTTCAACTAGTAATTCTGCTGGGACCTAGTTTCACAGGAAAGCAAACCAAGCTGGATTGGGTAGCTCCCTGCTCGCTCATGGAACAAATACCTGTTCTTCTTTCGCCTCCAAAAAGGGGATTCATTGCATTTCAAAGAGAGGTACATTTGAGATTTCTCCTGCCCTCGCATCAACAGCCGCAATAGAAACCCGTGGGTGACTGCGTGCCGAGTCACTCCGCTGCCTGACTGACATTGACTCAGATTCCCCTTATGCTTCATAAGGTAAAGAAGTTAAAAAAAAAACAAAAACGGAAAGCTGTGTCTTTCTGGAAGTAGGAATACTGCAGTTCCTACTAAATATGTTCATTTCTTTGCAGGGACAAAAGTTCTCCCCAGTGGCCAATTTCTTGCATGGTTACTTCCCCGTTGCGCTAGGAAGGAACGGCAATGTTCTTGAGCCACCACGACTGGCCTCTGCGTCAAAGCAGAGATTAATTTCTCAGGCGCAGTTTAATGGGTTTGGATAAGGGCGGGAGTGGAAAGGAAGCCAGGTCTAATGGGGCACCAGAAGTGGCTGCACTAGGTGGGGAAGACAAAGGACGTTGTGCTTTTTAAAACAGAACCCAGGCAAGAGGAGCACAGCCCAAACTCTCAAGTTAAAAACTCAGTAACGCAGGTCCCGTCTCTTCCTGCAGCTACTAGCACAGACTCAGAAAGCACAAATGAACAATTAGTGTCATTCTCTTTTATAACTCCAGTGCTCATGTTGCACTGCCAGCGTTGTCAACTGCATGCAAGCTGGAAGCTTACAAGAAATGCACGTTAACCACAGGAAGGCAAGCGACGGGAAAGCATTCTTTTTTAACTGAACTGTCGGAAGAAGCACAAGGTGGACATTCTTGGGGCGGGGGCTCCAGGGTAGCCCCCACTCTTGTGGCCTTCTTGTAAAAAAAACTTCTGGGAGGCCTTTGGGACTTGAGTGCTGCAGAGTTGCTGGTGCCAGAAAGATTAGATCAACTATTTTTTTACTGTAATTATACAGAGCGTTTCTGTTGCCTTATGTTGTTACAGCATTGACTGCGGCTGGTGCTTTGCAAAAGCCTTGGCTTGATTGAAGTGGTTTATGCATTTATCAACAAATAACTTCCCAGCCCCTCAGCTTGCAAACCAAAAAGCTGTGCCCAACCCTTCGCTAGTGCCCTGGATTTAGAGAAAGTGTAAAGAAGTATTTTTTTATAGTATCAGTTTATGAGATCTTCCAATACAGGATGCCTGACTTTAGCTGTTTATGGTATCCTTCTGGGCTTCTGCCAAGCTCTTGGCCTAGAAAGATAAAATTAGCCCATGCTAAATTACATCATGTCCCTTAATTGAAGAACACCACATTTGGGTTTTTGCCACAACTTCCGTTCAGCAGCAGCCTGGCAACGCTAACTGGCAACTGAGCCAGTAACTAAGCAGGGTTACCCGGGTCAAAAGCACCCAGCTGTCCATTTGTTTCCCACAAGCTGGTTTTCTTTACCTGTATTATTGACATAATCTGTGCGACTGGATTTGGGAAAAGCCATCTGAAATCAACTGGCCTTCAAATAGCCAAGGATCTAAGACTTGCTTACCCCAATGAAAGGGATGAACTTCTGGTAGGAATCTTCATCTTGGCTGCAGGCAAAGGAAACAGGAAAGGTGACGGTTGATGGCTTGCTTCTCATCCCTTTCCCTATTTTACAGCTTTCAACAATAAACTGATCCTTACACACAGGCTTTCGAGTAACCTTATATATGGTGCTAAAATGTTTGCCTAAGCAATCAAATTGCTGGTCTGCCAAGAAAGGCATAGGCCAAAGGCTGGATCCCTGCCTGAATTGCTGAAGAGCAGTGTTTCTCAACCGTGGCAACTTGAAGATGGGTGGACTTCAACTCTCAGAATTCCCCTTTGTCCCGGTCTAAGATTCCAACAAACTGACAGACGGGCCGAGAGTTAGTTTGAAAACATTTACTCATTTATCCAAGGAGATGCCTTTGCTCAGTTTAGTCACCTTTGGCAGAATCGCCCCAAAGATATTGACGGGAACTTACAATTTGTGTTTGCAGGTTAGCATGGCCTCCGCCACGGGCAGCTGGTGAGTCACATTGGCTCCGTTCACGTACTGTGTGATCCGGCCGACCACGTCCAAGGGCTCTGGAGGAGAAAAGAACCCAAAGAACAGGTCAGGCTGATTGAAAAGGGAACTTGGAGCCTTTACCCCACTCTCTGAGCTCCCAGGTTCAAGAGTCATTGGAAATGTTAGGACTTCTGCGAACAAGACCCAGACAGGTGATCAGGAGTAGCAAAGAAGACCAGTGTTTCTCAACCTTGACCACTTTAAGATATGTGGACTTCGACTCCCACAGCTATGCTGGCTGGGAAATCCTGGGAGTTGACATCCACACATCTTCAAGTAGTTAAGGTTGAGAAACACTGATATAGACTGAGAGAAAGTCTGAGGTTTGACACAGGAACCATCTCAAATCATTTCTGAAGCTCCTCCATGACCCCCAAATGGTCTTTGTACCACGGTTTTCATTAGTAATTCTATCAGGAGTTCTTACTCCCTGCCTTGGAGCAACAAAAACACTACTAAGTGGGGCACAGGGAGAGAACCAGACCATTCTGTGGGATCCTGGGCTGAATTTGACTCAAATGTCCACAGAATAAGAACGCAGGTGGGGAGAGGCGGCTGGCTATAGCCAGAGGGAAGAAGAGCTTTCTGAAAAGCGGGGCTCCAAGCACCTGCTTACCTATTGCAGGTGGTTCAGGTTTGCTGAAGAGTTCTCTCCAGGAGGTGTCCAGAAACATATTGCTGTATCTGCTGTCCACAGAGCCCATGTATTTAGCGACTGGGTGAGATCCTGGGGGAGAAATGGAAGGAGGCTGTTCTCATGGCTGCGGTTTTTGGCAAGCTCCACCATTCCAGTTCTAAGCCGCCCACTCCTTCGTGCCAGGACGCCTTCTCCTTCCCAGATGGTGATCCACCCATCTTTTGGGCCCTTCGGTTGAGCACTCTTTCTCAACCCCAGCTAAAAATGAGTTTCCAGTGTAGAGAAGTCATCCCCGAAAGACTCAGAAACATCTGTCTTCTTGGAGAAAAGTCTCCTTCTTTGACAACAAACACTGCCCAAACCTCCCCTGTTGGTTTTTACTTTCACCAATTATTTTCTGACACAACCAAACTGAAGAAAGCACGAGATTAAGAAAGAAAAAGCAACCACCGTCAAAAGAAAACACAGCATTTAATTACTTTGTTCCCCTCTCTGTTTCAGTCGCTTGTTGGAATTAAAGCACAAGGCCACCAGGTTTTTTTTTTTTTTTTAAAAAAGGAATTCTCCATCCCATCAATCAGCCCTTGCCTTTTTTTTTTTAAAAAGGAATTCTCCATCCCATCAATCAGCCCTTGCCTTTTTTTTTTTAAAAAGGAATTCTCCATCCCATCAATCAGCCCTTGCCTTCAGCAACAGAGGCTTGGTTTCACCTACTGCAGTTAGCAACCCTAGGAAAAACATCTTCTGGATTTGGAGAGGCTATCAATTAAGAAAATGAGAGTATGAAGCCACAGTGAAGTTCGTTAATAGGCCCAATTCTCCAAAAGTTTTGCCCCTTTGGGATGAAGCACGATCAATGGAAAAAACAAAGGCCAGGCGTTATTGGCAAAAGGGCAGGCAGAGATGAAGCCAACAGAAACGGCTCCCTGAGATTTAGGAAATATTTTTTGATCAAAGTGGAAGACTGAAACAGACTCAGGCGGTGAGTCTGTGAATTGGGTCTCGCTTGCATTAATGCAATGTGTTTGGGGTTAAGTACAGGTAGTCCTCGTTTAGCGACCACCTTGTTCAGCAACCGTTCGCAGTTATGACGGTGACAAAAAAGTAACTTTTTATGACAGTGACAAAAAAGTAACCCACCCAGAGTCCCCTACTGTAGGGGAGATGGGCGGAAGAGAAATCCAATAAATAAATAAAATAAATAAATAAACTTGGCAACCAATCCTTGCATTTACCACCTTTGGAGGTCTGTCAAGCCATGGAAAGCTGGAGTCAGCTCATAAGCACAGCCATGTTCACTTAGTGACCACTTCACTTAATAACTGAGTTGCCAGTCCCAGTTGTGGTCACTAAATGAGGACTATCTGTAATCAGATAAAGTAGGGTAAATTTTCTCTTTTGAGGCATGGCCAGCCGGGAGTCAACAGAGCAACCTTCTGCATATACTCATTCTCTGATGCCTCCAAGGAGCGCCAGATCCAAAATGCTGCTTGGAGAGAATCTTTCCTCTGAATAAGCAGCAAGAGGAAAACAGTTCCCCCCTTCCTCTGGTTTTGGACACACCGGTCTCCCACCCTGACTTCAGCCACCACCGGCTACAGTTCTGTTACCTAGCGGCACGATTAGGAACCTCATGTGGTTGAGCCAGTCCGACGTCTTGTTCGCCAGCTGCTTCACGAAAAACCTCAAAATGGCACTGAGATAGCTCTGGCCCCCGACAGATACCACTTTCACGGGGCGCGGCATGGAGGAATTGCAATTGCAGCTGGAGGGAAGGAGAGAGAAAGGGCAGTTCGGGAGTCTGGGCGCCCGGCTCAGCCTTTGACGGCACTTCAGGGGTGTTGATGCACTATTTGTTAAGGGCCCTCTCTTGAATGGCGGGGACACTATGCAGTGGATATGTTCCACAGTGCACAAGAGTGTGCGAGTGTGCACGCATGGCCAAACCCACTTGAAAAGATGCGTTCCTCTTTTCACACTTTAAGGCTCACAATGGAGAGGCAGGAACTCCCCTCTCCTGAAATGGGAGAAGTGGATCTAGGCCCCCCAACAAACCACACCCCGCTTCTTATCCCTTTCAGATATTCAAGGGAGTGAAATAATGGTCTGGCAGAGATTCCTTTCTTCACAGCTCATCCAAGATACCTCCAGGGATGGAGACTTCAGATCCCAGAGGACTCAGCCTCAGACTTGCTGAGAGTGGACCCTGCAGATCTGGAGGGTGGCCTCACAAGCAAGGACGCTTTTAAAGCTTCCAGAAGACATCTTAACATGCATGCATTGACAGCATGATGGGTGGCCACTAGAGGGGGCTCCAGAGCTGGAATATAATACAAAAATTCCAGGATGGTCTGAACCTTAGCCAACTGGCGTAAAAGCCAACAACACCAGTTTTTGTTTCGATGAGACAAGAATGCAGAACCTTGTCTACATGTCTGCTTTCACCTTCTGCAGGGTTCACGAAGGACAGGCACGCAGAAAAATGAGGCCAAAATCTAGCCTAGGGCTTGGGCACCTGTCCTGCAGACCGTGCAATCTCTCTCCCCCCAAATTCCTGCAAAGAGTTTTGCTTCCCAACTTGAAACTAAAAGCACCATCAACAGGTTCTCTGCAGAGCTTGGGGTCTATGGTCAGAGGTGCTGAGACTCAAATTATGCACAGAAAAATCTATCCTCTAATTCCCCCATCGTTGATGGCTTAATGTAACGGTATGGGGGAATGTCCTCGGGAGACAGGAGGAAGAGCTCCAGACTGGACAACCAGCGTGTAAAAGGTGGCTCAGCCCAGAGAAGGAAAAGGGTGGGGAGCATTTCAGAAGGGACCCTCCCTAGTTTTCCAGAGAGTAAAAGGAAAGGAGGGAGGAAATACTTTCAGTCTTGCAAGATTCTGTTAACGTAACCAAACAATACAGATAGAGTTAGGACTCATAGCTGTGCTTCTTGACTGGACTACCTTGAAGGGCTAACACTTGGCGGTAATTATGCTTCTACGTGCTCAAAAGTCAGCCTCGGCACCACCTGGCCCATTTCCATGTTGGTATCCTGCCCAAGAAAAACCACCTCACAGTCTCCGGAGTTGAGCTATGCCTCTGATTAGACAGACAGTGAATGAATCATCTCTAGGGAGATTTGTGATGAGTCCCCAGCACCCGCTGATGGGGACATCCTGCAGTGGCTTGAAGAAAGGAATTAAAAAGGTGCCTTTAATTATGCTGATCCTGACTCCCCATCATTACGTAAAGAGGAAGGAAGTGATTAAAGCCTGCTTTACAGGCAGCCAGTCAGTCTAGGCCTCAACTGGAGAACCAAGCCTGTATCTCAGTAGCTTCCTGCGCAAGGAAATCCAGGATCCAGAGGTTCCTCATTAAACTTCTTTGCCAGAGTTCTAACACTGGGTTCAAAGAGAAACCAGGAGTTTGTTCTCCTGGTTCTGAATGAAGAAGGCTGTGTTTTCCAATGGTTCCTATTCACACAAGGCTGGGACAAGGGTGATCTGTTTCTAAGAAGGCTTACACTTCCATCTCCTAAGCAACAAGGACACCCACCTTCTTCAGAAATTAGAAGTAGATGGCAACTGGCTTAATTTTATGTCTTTCTGACGTCAGAAAGTGATTGTGATCTCACTAACACCTGCAAGCGCCACCAAGAAGAACTGAAGACAAGCCACCAAACTTTGGGCACTCACATAGCCTTGCAAGTAAAGGCATTTATCCACTTTCAAAAATAGCAAGGGGCTTCTGAAAACTAATGAGGACGTGACCCCACCCTGCCCCCAGGGGAGATCCTCATCTTGAAGCCATTCCAGAGAGTAACTGATGGGCTGATTAATTGATTGACTGATGTGGGGGTCTGAAGTTCAACCTCTCTTTGCAAGAGAGAGAACATACAATTGGGGCAAGGCTGTTCTAAGGTATCAGCTGTTCTTCCGAAAACGAAGGCCACCAGCATCTAGATTTCTTGCTTGACCTCTCATGAGGGGCCAAGTCCAAAAGAGAGAAAAATGATTGACCGGAGCTTTGTGAACTCACTATCTCTGGATCCTCGTGAGGATTGCAGAAAGGACAGCTTGCACTTCGATGGTGGAGCACGTACAAACGACGGGCTTCTTCTGATCCTGGAGGAGGTCAGCTACGTACTAGAAGCAAAGCAAGGATGTGATCAGAGAGGGAAAGGACGGGGCACTTTGCTGATTCAGCTGCTCTATGGAACACCTCTTCCTGGTGATTAATCGCAGGCCGCATGAACCGAGCCAAGAAGTTGGCAACGAGTGCCCATAAGCGCCATGGATACAAGCTGACATGTCACGATTACACCTGAGCTGATAGAAATCTGAGATAGGCCGCCTGGTGGGATTAGCAGGCACAAGAGAAGGAAAAGTAACGCTCAAAGGGACAGGAAACAGGATACGCTGACTGACTGCTTTCTTTGTTCGAAAGTATCATTCCCCCTTTTCTAAGGATGGCATTTCGGTCCCTTGAAGCCACAGGTTTGCCCAAAAAGGTTTCAGACTAGTCCTTTCACACTCAGATTCTCAAGGCATCGCTTGGCCTGGCGGCCATCAGAAAAACCAGGTAATCGGTCATCGCCTGGAACATGCCAGCGTTTGACAGAAAAGGTTCGTAATGTCAGGAGAGCAAGGATATATTGAAGGGGACAACCATCTTTGTAAATACTGGAATAAACAGGCGGCTGGAAAAACATCTCCTGGCCCAAGCAGAGGACGCCCTTCGCTGTTCTGTTTAATGTCCAACTCTTATCGCCCAGCTGTTCTCCCCTCCGGCGCCTCATTTTCCACGAATCTGGCTTCAGATTCAATTGAGGGCTTTGGTTTGTCAACACAAAACTTAATCTATCTTGTAAGTTAAACAACACTTACAGAATGTTTTTTTTTATACAAGCTATTGGTTAGTCCAAGCTTGCAGGATCTGGTTTGAAGGCCAGGGGAAATGATCCTTCCTGATTAAGTGAACGTTACATTTTCTCAATTATCCCCGGATGCTCAAATTTGAGGTGGGAAGCTCCAAAAAAGTTTACTTGAGGGATTTTGTGCAAGATCACACACACCGACAGCTTCCCAGCTGTTGGGAAGCAGAATTGGGTCCCTCCAGCAAATTGCTGGCTGGAAGCTGAGTTGTTGTTGTTGTAAAGAGACACAGAGACAAGTTGCTTACCTGGCCTTGCCAGTCAACAGCATTCACGAGGATTACATTTTCTGGCAGTGCAGCATCCGACACGAGGATCTGATTCAACTGATCATAAACAATCTTGCGAGGAATCTGGTGGAGAAAGGTGGACGATTTTTGAAGTACTGTCAGCCCTTCGAGGTAGTCCAGAGAAGAAACACCATCAGGAGCACTAGCTCTATCTTTATTGTAAGGTGACATGAACAGAATCTTGCAAGTCCGAATGTATTTCTCCCATCCCTCACTTTTACTCTCCCTAAAACTAGAGAGGGTCCCTTCTGAAACTCTTTCTTCACCCCCAACCCTCCTTTGAATCCAAATTTCATTTATCAGACCATTGTCTAGGCTGTGGCTCTTCCTCCTGTTTCCCAAGGTCATCCCCACATACCATTTCAAGTGCAGATCCTCGGCTTAAATGGGTATAGCCTAACCTTCATCAAACTGGAGCCCTCCAGGATGTTGCAAGTTGCAGTCTTAATGCTCCTGAAGGATATCCAGTCAAGGAAGGCTGACACAGAGGACACTATAACTATCATTCATTCATTCATTCATTCATTCATTCATTCATTCATTCATTCATTCATTCATTCATTCATTCATTCATTCATTTTCAATCAGGCACTGCCTAACTTCAGAACAACTCACCAGATCTGGAAGGACATTTCCTAGTTCCAAGGTGAAACCAGGTATGTACAGCTCAGGGAAGGATATTCCTCCCCTTCTTACCCCAACTGAAGGTGATGTTCCCAAGATTCAGAACAGGAAGTTAATTCCCTTGCTACCACCATCCCATCTCCCAAAATCCAAGAAAGAGGGACTGAGCCACAGCAAGGAGGACTGTACTTGTAGCTTACCTGCGTACTGTGACATAAATCCGGGGACCTTTCGCTGTCAGAACTGTTGGTCCTTTCACTAAGCGGCTTGGAAAGCTGACGCTCCTTGAGTGGAGTGCTGCGTTTTTGACGGGGGGTGTGCATGGCGCTGTCCATTTTGCTGTCACCGGAGGAAGAAAGGTGGCAATTAATAACCCAAGTGCTGTAAACCAGGGAGAGCAATCAAAGTCACACCACAGCGGGGGGGAACCCAACGTTGTTCTTCCTTGACGCAGAAGCCGAATATTTTATCTGAGGCAGGTGCAGAGGCACCAACAGACTCTCAAAACAGGCTGACGACCTCCAGCTTTCATCGCAACAGTTACGTGGAGTGAACCCAGTTTCTTGCTCTTATGATCGTAGCAAAAAAATGAACATAAATGAGAATATCTCAACCACGTCCGCTGAGCATTTAAAAAAAAAAAATGTGTTAGGCATTCCAGCTACCGGCAAATAGGCTTTTGCCCACATACAATGACCCCTTACCCATATTAGTCCAAAATTTCCTAAGCTTAATCCCCCCCGCTTTGGGGGGGGAATCACTTTATTTTCCATTATTCCAGGCTTGACCAAAACAAAGTGTCTTTTCATACTAAGGACTCTGCACCAGATTTTCATTTGCATGGTGACAGGCTCAGGGGTCCCTCCGAGCAACAATAGGATTGGGGTCATGGGGGCAGTAGGAGAAGGCAGGAGATGAATATTGCTACAAATGCGTGATCCAGCAAAAGCACAGCTGAGAAATCTGCAATGCTGGCAGGATGGAAAACAACTGCCTTTGTAAACCAAATATATTTCATCTTCAGCAGAACACTGGGTGGAAATTACCCATTCAGTGCTGTTTTTCAGAGCGCTGTGAGCTGGAGGGAGCTTGATGGAAAGCGCTTCCAACCTACTTGGGCGAGGCCTTAAGCAGAAGGTTGGAAAGTCAAAGACAAAACCGGGTGATTGGCTTCAGAAGTAGGCTGCCTTCTGCAACAAACAAGTCATCAAACTGCCACTGCCTGGAGGGGTGGAGGGGGAAAAAAAACCAGGGCCCAGAGAAGGGAGCGGAGCGAACGGTGCAAACACACACGTGGTGCTTCTGAGAACCCGTCTCCTGCAAGGCATCTGTTCTGCGCCGGGAGAAAGCCAAGCCATGTTTTGCATTCAAGGAGCATCTGTGGCCACCCCCAGGAGTCCAGAGAAACACAGATGTAACGCATTTCAATTTGCAACCACGGAGCCCATGATGGGAGGGCATTTGTTAACAGGACGGTACATTTCTAGGGTCAAGCCCGCTGGCTGGTGCTGGAGGAGAAGCAATGTAGCCTCCCAAATCCTGAGCGTTAGGGTTCTGTTTCTAGGCAGAATGAAGATGCGCACAGAAGAGGACTGAGCCACACGTCTCGTGCAAGAGACCCCTCAAATGTCCCAAGTGGACATTTCCAAGCCCAGTCCAGCCCAGCCCATTCCCACTGCACAGAAAGCATTTTCTAGGGAGCTCCAAATGAATCAGTTCTGAAAAGTCTTTACAAAATTGCCAGGGAAAAGAACAGAGCAGGTTGTGGGTGTGGGTGTGGGTGTGTGGGTGCACGCACACACACACTACCAAAAAGAAACCCTCTGCACCCAAATCTTTCACTCCAGCTTACAAAGAAAAGCCTAAATTTTGTGCAATGGAATAGCCTCAGGTTGCACCCAGGGCCACCCCCATCACTCCCTGCCAGTTGGATAAGAGCCTTTCTCTCTCTGTTACTCCAGCCGACAAGGGGCAGAGAAACAGGGGAGCTGGTATTATTAGGGGATGCCTGTTGCAGGCAGTTTTCACTGATGGGTTTATTTCCCCTTTCCAGCGAGAAGACAGGCTCTGAAGGATGCTGATGAGGAGGGGGCAAGTCCGGGGAGTTTTACAGTGTTTAAAAAGGTTTGATGCGTGTTTTAATTTAGGGCCGTCAGCCATTACGAACCGTCTTCAGCGAATAAAACTCGGCGTTTATTACCTAGGCGAGGCCATGCTCTGAAGGTCTCCCTTGCTTGTTTTCATAGGCGTCTTGATTTTTTCTGGGATAATGAAGGTGGTGGACAAGTCCCCAAAAGCATCCTGCTCGCTCCCTTCCTAGAGAAAGCGGGAAGAGACACGTTCAGCACTAATTTTTTTTATCCAAAGGAAGCAAAAGGGATCTTCTGCTGGTGAGGGCGATGGCGACTTCCAAGCACTTACCAGCATGTCTGTTTCGTTGATGTCATCAACGTTTTTACTCCGGTTCGGTTTCAGTTTGTCTCCGGCAGAGGCTTCAATCTGGATCAGCAGCAGCCGTGGAGAGAAAAAGGAAGGGGAAAAACAGCTGTTTTTCGGCAGAGCTTAAATCCAGGAGCTTGTGTACGGTACCGGGGGGCGGGGAGAAAGAACCCCAGGAATCTGGTAGCATCTTTTCTGGCACATGTGTTTTATGAAAAGGCATCAGCTTTCATGTGCTGCAGCTCTCTGCATCAGAGGCAAGAATTTGATGAAGGAAGCTGCGCACCGCTTTGACCACAGATGCTCCAGTCCAACAGTACAACCTTCAGAGTTTTCCCATTCAGAGTTTTCACCTCTGAACGATCGGGATGAAACAGAGCCCTGCCTTTTCCCCTCAACAGGGTTAAAAATAGAGGGACGTTCGGAAATTCCCCCAGAGCTTTCTCTTTTATCTTCTTTCAACACACCAATGAATTCATCCTCCCTCTTTTTCTTATCACATGCAGAGAGGAGAATGGCCCTAAACCTCAGAGAAGGACTTTCTCCCCACCTCTTCCTAAGATTTCATTTCAGCCTTAAGTCCTACAGGCCGTCTTCGGCTAGACACCAAACGGGCTGTGATCACAGGACAATATCTGTGGGGTGCTCCTACCTACTCATGCTTCTAAGCCCCTTCCAGCTGCAGTGATGGAAGCAGCACGAAAACCTTTGCAAATAGATCAAGCGATAGATCCAGTTCTACCTCTACCTCTACGTCAGATCCACCACCACACAGCGAGGCGGGGATAAAGATACAAAGCGAAGCGCGCATTCAGAGGAGGGCAATTCGATCTGATCGAGTCGAGGCAGGCCAACCCTTCTATTTGAGAAAGGGATAATGTGGTGCAACTTTAGCCCCTATAGCAGTTTGCCAAAACTGGTATAATCTTACACGACGCTGCCAACCAGGATAGCAAAACTTTTTTTTCCCCCTGCCGGAACCACAATTTGCTGTAATTTCTGAAGCTCGGATGGCTGTTTTCCTCAACATGTGCTCTTTCCTTCTTACACTTACAGGACTGGTGGTGTCCTTGCCAAGACTTCCTTTACTGTTGAGGCTTCCAATTTCGGTCTGGGAGCTCGACTGGGACATCCCCTCAAAGAACGGCCTGGAACGGAACAAGGTGGGGAATCAAACGGGTGCCGAAGATGGGGGAATGGCATGTTCCCCCTGAAGGTCTGAAACAGGAAGACCCTGACTAGTTCCATGTTAACTTCTTATGAAAAAGGAGGGGAAAAGTGTAATGGTAGGTGAGAAAGACCTTGAGAGATGGGGTGAAGAGATGCTGCCTAGGGAATGGTCAGATAAGAGATGGCTTAGCCCGCAGCTGTATAATGGGTGGAGAAAGAGGCTCAGAAGGGACCCTCCCTAGTTTCTCGGGCTGTAAAAGAGATGGTGGGAGATTTGTACTTTCAGACTTGCAAGATTCTGTTAACGTGGCCTTACAATAAAGTAGAGTTAGCTCATCTGGTTGTGTTTCCTGTCTGGTCCACCTGGGAAGGCTGACAAAAAGTGAACTGGGAATGTCAGAACCTGCATCACCCAACTGTTGTTGTTTTCCATTGTATTGCATTCGTTGGGAGTTGGATTGATTTGTTTCTGCCACTTGTAAATAAGGAGGGGGGGGCTGTTAATGGTGGTAAGGGGAGTTGGGAAGCAGCTTAACCATATATGGGCAATTTAGACTGGCTTGATTGCCGG